TCATCTTCCTTATTTACCTTTTGTTGAATATTGCCTGTTAAAATATATTGTAAGCTTAGTTATTAAACTTCTGTGTTGCCCCATCTCACCAAGGTGACTCTAAGTTATAGTTGATATTTGCAAGAATTCTAAACAAAGCCTGATTTGCGAAAATTGAAATTGGACTATTGTTTCAATGGCAATTCTATTGCTTCAAATCTATTTGTTCTTACAGTGTAAGGAAATCTTCATTAAACTCATCCTTCTGAATAAAAATATTTCTCTCAGTTTTCTGGTACTTATAATATTTTACACAAATGAAATGATATCCATCTATCAAATACTATCTGATATATTAATGAAATGCATGAATAATAAGTTACCAGAAAAAATGCTTACCAGTGATTATTTAAATATGGTTTAGTAAAACCAGTTTTCTGGGTTTGCAACATATTGAACTAACCTTGGCTGGTTTCACCCAACACCGTAAGTCAAAATATGGAAGATTAGTTGCTGGTTTAATATACAGCTCTAAATAGTAATGGATTTCTGTCCTATACATACATATGGTGGAGTATGTTTCATTGAGTAAAGCGAGGGCTAACATTTGACAGTCCAAAGCTACAAAATTGTCCACCACGTCCAAAGGTTAGTTGAACTACATATAAACTATTAACTGCTTATAAAAGATCTATACAACTGAATGGAAAATTATCTCCCATTCTTATGTTTCATGAAATATTATTTTCATAATCCTAATTCCAACTTCAAGTTTGTTTACAGTACAATTTAAGGCACAATTAGCGAATAACAATTAAACATTTAGATCTAAAATTATTAGAAACATTTTACATGATATTTCAAAAATTCCATGATGGGTTTATCTTACACAATTTGCCATATATTTAACAGCTGTAACGTTTTCATCTGTATATTTTTGAAAACACCTTCATTGTAATATCTTTGTAGAAAAAGCATAGAATTCTATAGACATCATATTAATTTCAATACATAGATGCAGGCTTAATTTTGAAATAAAAGAGATGCTTTATCATGATTATTCCTGATTTCAACCGGTCTCTTTGAATGGAATTAAAGTCTGGTTGCAACACCTTGATGCAAAACAAATTAAGATCAGAAAACAAAACCCAGGGAATGCATGTAGGATTAAAATCAAGGTACAGGATAATTGTAATACTCTTTCAAAAGAAAGATTTTCTAATCCTTACCTCTAAAGACTCCCAGTGTTCTAAATGTCAGAAGCAGGAATATAAAAAATAATTTATGGAGCAAGTATTCTTTTCTGAGCATGATACTGCAAAATGTGAGCACTATAAGTAGAAGCAAACACTTTATTCATTTTTTAAAAAATGTTGGCCTGACTACTTTTGTTTGTGTATGTGGTTTCATTGTTTGTGGTACAGGATGCACAATACAGAATCCTGGAACGGTTAGTTAGAAATGAGGACATGCCAGCTAACTGAACTGAAACTCTGTCCAAAGCAACTGGTCATAAATGCTGAAGCTTAAAAACTTCAAGAAGCCTTGTCTAACCTCCAATGTTTCCGATCCTTGAAGGCCTTCTTAGCTTTGCACCAGGTTATTTATATCTATTTTATTTAATTTTTAATTTAGCCACCTAAAGTCACACTTTTTAAATAATAATTTTTAACGCAGTTTAAAAACACAAAGAGAAAGAATACAAATGAAGAGAAATATAAAAAAAACCCTGAAAATTATAGAAAAAGTGGGGAAGGGAAAAGGAAGGAAAAATAAATAAAATGAAAACAAAGAAAAAAATTAGAAATTAGTTCCCCTTTCATCAAGACATGTGCAAACATTTTCAATAACTTAATACCCTTCTCTAATATTTCAACCAAAAACCTCTTTATCCCAAATCTCAACTTTTACCTGCTAGCAAATAAAACCTCATCATTTAGTTATTCAGTAAAAGTCCATTAGAAGCTACCAGAAAGAACACATCAGAATTTTTAATATTTAATCCCTTCAAATGATGTCATACAAATTAATTTATCATTTTTTCATCTTCTTTCAATTTCACTTACTCAGCCAAAGTTAAAATGTATATGATTCTTTTTTTAAGTAGCTCAATGGTTTTTTTCTGGATTAAGACTGATCGTAATAGTTTAGAGAATTGTATATGGATAATGTATGGAAAGAAGAGAGTTTCTGTTGCATTTTTAGAGAAAGTGAATCTTGTTTTTATAGCAAACGTTGCATTAGAACTTCTTCAAAGTGAACTCTGCAACCCTGAGTCTTTGATTCCATAGCTTTATTCACACGTTAGTAAATCATAATCATTGTTATCATACAATAGTAATGTAGTTACCACTGGGACTTACTCCCACATAAGTGCAAATCAGATTGCCAATTAAACCAGCTTGGATTCTTTCTAGATTTTTTTTTTTTTGCTAAAATCAGAATAAAATAAAAGTGTGCCAACTCACACAGATATTTTAATGGTCAGCAGCAAATTGTTACATGTTCTAATTAATCATACTACTTTTATTTAGTGTATTTGACTTGCTAGTTATTGTTTGAACTTCTCATTGTGGTCAGTGCCAAATCTGTCTGATGGGAAAGACAAATAAACTGAGGGTTTCACATGTATTCAATATATCCATCTCAGAGGTGGTATCCAGCAGGTTCTGACCAGTTCTGGAGAACTGGTAACAGAAATTTTGAGTAGTTCGGAGAACAGGCAAATACCACCTCTGACTGGCCCCGCCGTCTATTCTCTTCCTGCCAAGTCCCAGCTGATTGGCTGGGTCTTCTTTTGTTGCCCTGCACAGGAGAAGGGAGCTGGAAAGCAAGTTAATGGGGTGGGGAGGGAATGGAGATTTTACAGTATCCTTCCCGTCATGCCCACTAAACCATGCCCACCAAGCCACACTCACAGAACCAGTAGTAAATTTTTTTGAATCCCACCACTGATCCATCTCTTTTAGAATGGCAAAGGAATATGTATGTTATTTTCAGCAATCCCATAAGGCAGGAGACTATTTCAGCCTGTATCGCCCCAGGTGGATGTTCATTTAATCATTTTCACTGGGAAAGAAAAAATATTGTCCAATATGATATTGAAATGTATGGTAATGAACTGGAAATGCAGTAAATTCTAAGATACTGCATAGGTACAAAAACAAAAGTTCAATTAAGATAGATAGGCAAACAATTTATAGACCTTTGATAAATTGTAATTAAGTAATACAATGATCCAAGATTAGAACTATGCTATTACTTTAATGGGGTATGTTAATCGTGATACATGTTGCATGTTTTCAGATATTCAGAAGTTTACCATTTCGCAACTTAACAATAACATAACTTGTCAGTGATTCACACATTGCACTGTTACAATTAGTTAAAAATGGTTTGTTGAAGCTATTATTGTGAGATAAAATACAAACATGGTTTAAAAATTATAACTATAATGCTTCACATAATTAATAATAGTATATAATTTTTCTGGACTAAGGGCCATAGTTGACTTTTAAATGGTATGTTGGCTAACTTCAGAAAAGTCATAGGCAGGACTAGAAGCAAAACTAAATTTGATTTTATTTACAGTTAAATGTAACATGATTCCTACTAAAACCAAGACTATATATGATGAGGTAATGTAAGAAATTATTCCAGTCAATGTTAGTTGCAAACGGGGCATTTGATTGAATAACTAGCATCAAGTATTAATCCAGTTTCTAGTATTAATCCAGTCATTGGAATTTATAAATCATCTTTTAAGACTTAATTTATTCTACAAGCCATTACGGCTTCTTTTAACAAACTATAATTAAAAGAAATTATACTTGCCACAATATGTATAACCCATTCCTATTTAATATAAAAGAAATGTAAATATTTCCATTTGTGTGTGAATGAGTGTATATAAAGTGCTGGTGGGTAGGAGCATATTTATTTATTTTTTTATTGAATTTATATTGCCCTTATTCGCCCGTGGTGACTTGAGGTGGCTTACAGAATGTAAAACCATATTTAAAAACAATAAAACCAATAAAAACTAATAAAAAGAATCAAATAAATTAATAAAGTACAATAGAACAAATAAATCACACACACCCCCTCGCAACTCCAATATGCCAACCTATCTGAGCCTGGAAGCCAAGAAGGGTAACCTTTTTAGTCCCAGTTTGTCTATGGATGGGATACTACCAGAATCCCTCCCCCCAGGCTAAATTGTGAAGTGGGGAAAAAAACAACACCTCGAGATAAAGGAAACCACTTATATGTTGCTCTCATTAAGAGTCATCTAGAAGTGTCCACAAAGGTACCAGCAACTGAGGTTATTTGAATGAGATTCTTCCTTTTTTTAACAACACAAATTGGCCCATATTAGAGCTGCCATGTTGTAATCCTGTTGTAAAGCAAGACCCTGCTGTCATAAACCACAACAAATCCAGTCTTCTACATCCTGTTTGGTGCAGCCTGATGATGCTCCATAACCAGATGCTGTGGACAAAGGATGGATACGGATAAGGAGTCCTCTTTAGTCTATGGAGAGTCTCAGTCATCCAGGTCATGGCTGTCCCAAAGGTGGTTTTTCAAGAGGCAACTGGACTTTCTGGTTTTTTTTTTTTTTTCCTTGAAGACATTTCGCTTCTCTTCCAAGAAGCTTCTTCAGCTCTGGACTGAAGAAATTGAAGAAGCTTCTTGGATGAGAAGCGAAATGCCTTCCAAGAAAAACCAGAAAGTCCAGCTGCCTCTTGTAAAAAAGCACCTTTGGGAGCCCTCTTTAAATGACATCCCTTTGCTACCAGAGAAGAAGAACGCGGATGTCATCAACCGAAGGCCAACTTCGGAAGAGACCAGGATGATAAGGCGAGCACCGAATTATCCCCGCTCAAGCAACGTCAGCTTCTCCCTTCTTTCGTGGAGGTTGGTGGGGGAAGGCGGTTGCGTAGAACGACGCGGCCGCTGAGAGGGGGAGGGTCGAACCCAAGGGCGGAACTACGTCATCGCAAGGTCGCCGGGGTCAAGGAGGCGGTTCCTCGGCAGCCCAAACCCACAACAAACAACGGCGGTGGCGGCATCTTCGCTGCGGCCTCCTGTGCCGCCACCTTCGCGAAGGGGCCTCTGCGGCGCCCGGTGGGGGAGTGGGGTAGGGGCAGGGAGTTTAGGCGGCGCGAGCGCAACCCGCCGCCATGAAGCTCCGCGTACGGCTGCAGAGGCAGACGGCTCCGTTGGAGTTGCCGGAGGCGGAGCCACGGCTGGGGGATTTGCGTGCGCACCTTGCCCAAACCCTCTTGCCCTCTTGGGGTTACAGGTATCGGCGAGCGGGAGCTTCCTGGCGATGAGTGGGAGGCGGGTAGTCGGCGAGAGCGATGGGAAGCCAGGCATTTCTCCTTTCCTAGGAAATAGATACGGTGTCCATTTCTAGGAGAGCAAGAGGGATGGCCCAGAGTCGGAGAAGGAAGACAATAAATGTTTTATGCTTTTATGGGGAGAAAACCCCACCAAAATGCTTCAATTCGATAGTGGCAGTGAATGTGACAGACGAATAAATAATTCGGGGATCCAAAGGATAAATGTCATTTTTTGGGGGGTGGGGGGAGAGGTGTCTGGCACAAAATAGGAATGAGGGAAATATTAAGAGGATGTCTTTGCCCTTCTTTTCCCTCTTGACTAAAACTACATGTTAGCTTTATGTCTTCACAAGATCAGTTCCCAAGATGGGTTGCTTTAAGCTAAAACTTAACTGTCGGATTGGTAAATAGAGGGGAGGGGAAAAGCATCTCAAGGAATTGGATGGTTGTACCCACTTTCTGCCAAGAAAGTTACATGGATCTGTTTATGGGGTTAACCAAAAGCCAGGCATGGCTTAAAGGAGTCTTTATTGTTACAATGTACAGCATTGAAGTGAATCAGAGTTTAGGATTTTTGGCTTAATGATGGCACTTGCAGTATTGTTGGCATTTTTAGGATTATAAATTATGTGGAATGTATGTGGACCGAGTCCCATCCTTCACACATAGTTTCACAATCCTTCACACAGAGGAAAACCTATGGCAGTTTTCTAAAAAAAAAAAAAAAGCTTATGCATTTCAGGCTAGAAATGGTTTGGTCAATGCATTTGCCCAGTGCATTGAAGCATTGACCGAAACAAAACAAAAAATAAATATTTACATACCAGGCAATGTTCAGAATCTTGATTTGTGAAAAAGTTCGGAATATATTACCTGAATGGTGTCTTCAGTGATTATATTTCCCAATCTTTAGGCATTTTTTTATGTTGAAATCTTCTGAGTTTTTGGTAAAATAGTTTTGCAGGACATATTGTCTAAGGCTCCAATGTAGCGAGTTAGACTAGAACTGATTCATTTTCTCCCTCCACCTAATGCCAAGTCATTATCTTTCAGGTTTGGCTAATTTTCAAAATTGTAAATCTAAAGTACATAGTTTATTGGAAAAAAAGTCATTTTGGGCAAATACTTTGGGGAATCTACAGGTTTTGATCTGGTTACTGAATATTCTTTTATGTAGGGCAAATATAATTTCAAATCTTACATAGGAAACCTCTTAATTCATGTGGCTTGATGGATATTTTAGAAATGTTTTCATTGAATGATGGATTCCTGGACTCCTAACTTCAAATAAACTAATGTATAGAGTAATTGGAGAATGAAATAACTGAGTTAATATACTAACAAACAGATCTTATTTTTCCAAGTAAGCTGCACATGAGATTGTATTTTAGTGAACTAGTTGATCTATAATACTAAATTCAGTTTTGCTAGTCATAGGTATATTCCTGAAGGTATTTAGATTATGTTGTGATAGTTAGACTAAATCTGTTTCTGTCCTGTTGATGAAGGATATACTGTAAGTGAAATATAACAGTATTTTCATTGCGAAACTGAAAGTCAAAGTAAGATTACATGTTCAGTTTCGTTTATGGGCTACAGTTATAATAGAAACTGATAGTTATTTCATGGAAATCATGTGATTTATTAAAGTAGTAGTAGTACACATGCCTCTAAATTACTTGTCATAGTGGCTTATTTTATTCAGTGTAATGTCCTCTCTAGAAGACTGTGGGTGGCTTACAAACATACACACATATCCATCCCACAAAACAGCTTGAACCATAACTTCAAACAACCATAACTTCAAATAGTACAAAAACAATACGATAGAGGTTCAGCCAATAAATTACCCCTACATTAATGCAAGGCCTGGGAATCTTAAGGGTTTTCTGTAATCCCAGAAGGATGAATGCGAGGGTTTCATACCTGAGACTTACAGTAATAGGGTTTGGTATGTTAGAGATTTGGGATTGATTTGCCTTTAGTTTACAGTGAAAAAAGTGATTATTTTAAAAATTAAATATTGCTCTTTTCCTCAGACATGCCCTGTAAAATAATTGTCACTGGAAAAATTATATATAAAAACTAATTTTGTGATTGTTGGATTTGAAAATATCTCTTGTGTTCAAAAATGAGTTGCAAATGTTGTAACAGGAAATGCACCATTCAGGTTTTGTGGAGATGGATGTTGTGTTTGATTGTGAAAGATTTCCCTTGGTACCTATTAATTTTCTTTTTAAAAAATTACATGCAAAACTTAAAATAATCCTTTTGAAAGGCAAATCATAAATTAGATACTATTTAGCTACTGCAACGCAGGCAAATTCAAGAACCTTGATAATATTTTTTTTATTTAGCAAGACTGAAAACATTATTCTAGAAATGTGGCCTTCCTCTTTAGCATTTTGCTACTAATAATTTAAATACTAATACTATAAATACTACTTTTAAATATGTAGTAGACTTACATTTCTAAAAAAAAAGTTTATTCCTGGCATGTAAACAATTATGGTGGGCTAACATGTATAATAAATGCAGGCGAAAATGAATCAGTTTGAGACTTATTTTAGTTTTAGTGGCTATACTAATTGGTTACATAGTAAATTGTGGAATTAGGTAATTAAGGACATCTTTTAGTCTGTAGTTAGTGTGTTTTCATCAATATAAAATGTGTGTTTAATGTTGCTTTCCCTGCAGTTCTGATATCAAGTTTGTAATAACATTGAACAACAAAGACTCCCTTACTGGAGATGAGGAAACCTTAGCATCATTTGGGATTGTATCAGGAGACTTGATATGTTTGATATTGGAAGATACTGAGACAGAATTAAGAGTATTTCCAACTCAGACCTCATCCCTGCATCCACAACAGAATAATCATGAACCATCCACTTCAGCCAGTTGTCACAACCAATCTAACATTCTAGATGGTGAAAGACGCAATGGACATCCACCAGACCATACAGTTCAAGATAATGTTCAGATGAATATAGACAATATGGTAAGTCCATAAGAAATGAAGACACTTTCATTGTGCCTAGTAGGGAAAATACTGAGAGCTTGGACTGCTTCCATTATTTTTAGAGAAACCAGCTTTTTTTTACAGAAACCCTTTTCTCTCATCACTTTAAGTATAATTTCAAATATATATTTTAATGCTCTCTTGTTTCTGCTGCTATCCTTTCAAGGCAGAATCCAGCCAAGCATTTGCTTCAGAAGCTGTATCTGATGACTTTGACTACCAAGAAGCTGCAGGTTCTTATCCTTCAGAGCCAATGCTTTGCTCTGAAGCTACAGATGGACAAGTGCCACACTCGCTTCAGACCCTATACCATTCTGCAGAATGTACTAGTGCCAACGATGCCTTGATAGTTTTGATCCATCTTATCATGATGGAGACAGGATACATACCTCAGGTAAGCAAATGTTTACAAAGGATGTCTGAATGTGAATATTATGCATCCCATTTTGGTTGAATTCCATTTCTCATCACTTCTTATAATTTTCATCATTGACATAGATCTTAGGCCAGTAATAAGATAATGTTGGCTTCCAGTAAGCCATGGTTTGCTGAGAACTATTGCTCATGAATATATTGGTTGTTACAATCCAGAATATTATGGTCACACACTGTTCTGCAGTAATTTGCAATTTTTACTTCATACCCATTGAGCAGAACACAGTTAATACACAACACATCTAGCAAAACAAATGTGAAAATCAGAACTGTTTTCAGTATTCTAGGCATTGCTTTACAACATAAATTTGTATTGTAAATGTTGGGTATTAAAATAAATGTGGGATACCAATTAAATAAACATATCTGCCTTTCTATCTGCCTTTCTAATGAGCCTTAGCATGGAGGCCCTTTAGACAAATTCTTGTCTTGCAGTCATTTGCCTATAGCCCATAGCAGGTGAATGAAATAATACAAAATAGTATTCTCCCTTCTAATTTGTAGAGTGTGTTACATTAAAAACTATTAGACTAATTAGAACTGGGATAGTGAATATGAGTTATGAAAGATTTATCAAAACTTCCCAGCACAGCTATATGTATAAAATTAAGTTCTGAATTTAATATTTTAATTTCAGTACGTTTTTTGCCAAATATTTGTTACTTCGAATTTGATTCATGAAATTTCTATTTATCCTCTTCATTATCAACTGTATAATTTGAGATGAGGATCTTAATGACAACTAGTTGTTGCATAAATATAAAAATAATAAGGTATAAGGCTATCCCAGTGATTGGGGCTGCTTTCCACTGGGTTGGGCTGCAAAAGATGCACGGATGACCTGTGAAAGCTCTCAAAGGAAGTGGGCAATGACTCTTGCCCCAAAGAAAGTGACTTGTAGTGTGTTAACATTACAGGCTGGATGAAGAGGCACACAAGTGGGAACCTTAATTTCAGGATGAATGGGGCTTCATTTGATACTCGGTGGCCACTTTTATAATGGCTTTATTAACTTGATAACAACAAATCTACTGATTAGAATTGTGGTTCTCTATAAGGCTTACTTGTAATTTCTTACCTGACTGACTGAGAAAGATTTGACAAATGATTACTTATATGCTTTATTTGCACTGTTGCCATAATCACAACTCTCTACCCTATGATTTCAGTAGTACTATTGCAAACACATAACAAATCTGTAATCAAATTTTAGTTGCTTTATTAAAGTCCTCTTTTATTATTCATAGGGAACAGAGTCAAAGGCAACAAGAATGCCTGATAAATGGCGGAACAGAGGTGTTTATAAACTACAGTATGCCCATCCCCTCTGTGAAAATGGCATTGCTGCCCTTACTTGCGTGCCTTTGGGAGACCTTATTGTTATCAATGGTAGGTATATTCTGATATTTATTTGATTGAAGGTTAGGATTTGTTATTCTTTGTTTTCTATCCTGTGTAACTGCTAACAAACCTGAAAGACATAAGGATCAGTTGACTCTTACATTGTACATGATGTCAGCTTTTAGGTGTTACTAAGTATGACAACGTGCACTGAGATGTGCTATGAAGTGAGATAGATTATCCATTTGAACTGTATTAAAGAAGAAATGGTGGTCTTTTATATTTTGCAACTTGACTTTCATGTCTGTCTCTGAAGAATCAACATTAAAAATGTAAACTTGGACACACAAACTCTAGAAAAAAAGCTTTGTTAGTTGATTTTGCAGAGGGTTCAATGCAACTTGTGCCAAGATTGATGTTTTCTTTCTTCCAATGTTTGAACTACCTATCATCATCTTTCTCTTGAAGGAAATGTGATATTCTCTCCCAGTGGAGCATTTTTAGCCAGGTGTGCATGGAATTTCCACTGTTTATGAGCAACCCTAACCATCTTCCTCCAGCCCTTTTATTGACTTCCCAGCACAGCTTCCCTGTTTCTCAAATCTTGCCACCAGCTCTCCCTGCGGTCCTTCCCCAGCCATGGCTGATCGATTCATGTCCATGCCCACTGACTTCCAGATCTCTCTTCCCAACTCACTGCATCAAATTGGCTCCAGCTCTTCCTCTGAGTAGCAAATTGAGATCTGATAGTGACCAGTCTAGGTTCCTGTTTCATTTCCAACCAGCTGTTCAGTCCTTCATGGATCTCAACTCTCATTAATTCTCCAAACATCAACTCTCATTAATTCTCCCATGCTCAGTGCTTATTTAAAACATTTTAGGGTATTCAGGTGTTTATTTAAATCAGACAATGGTAAAGTAATAACAATAACAACAATAAATAATAATGATAATAACAACTACTACTACGAGATAACTCTGACTCAATGAATCTTTTGCTCCAGAGATATTTCCATATCCAGAGATAAACAGAAAGAGAAATAGAATGACATCTGGCAGGCAAAAAAGCTGTGGGAATGGGAACGGCTTCCTACTTATTGCTGTCTTGCCCACTGGTGTTTCTTGTGGAAAGCTGATAGTCGTTGTCTGTAGCTGATTGCAGCCGCACTGAACTGGCCACAACTTAGGCAAATTTCGATAGCATGAGAGTCCTGGATTTTGGTTAGTTAGTCCATTTGAGGCATGTTGATTCAAAAAATAGTGCCCTCTAATGCATGTTTTGGCCAATTGAAGGTTACAAGTAATCATGAAGCCTTTAGTAGTATATTGAAACAAATTTGTTTAAAAAGAAGAATTAGGCTGTAAAACAGATATTGAGAGACTGCTTCAAAAGAGATAGAACACTGGGCAGTCCCATCTGAGATGCAGTTTAAGTTCTCAGAAAAGTCTCTTTTGAAGGAAGTGAGGGAGACTTTCCATGAACCCAGACAAAATTAAACTGTTTACTCTGTAACACATTATACTTAGTAATTCAAGCTCGTTAGATTCCTTCATATATCCTGGACTATTATGCCACACAGCCTCCAAGGGGAAAGAAGGGAGGGTGTATAATTTTTAATGTGTTTCTTATACCACACACTGCTTTTGGTCAGATTTATTCTGTTGAATTTCCCCAGGAAGTTCAGAATCATCAGTAGTGTTTTTGTTAAACTATTTTATTGTCTTTTTCTATTTTTAGCAATGCTGAAGATTGACATTGACATCAAAAGTGTGAAGAGACTACAGCTTCTGCCAGCGACATTTATCTGCTTTGAAGACTCAGGTATCTGAATCTGAATTTTGGGGAACAGCAAGAAGCTAATAGATGAGTAATGCCACAGTAATTTTGATAGTAGATGGGAGACATTTTTAAGTTGCATCATTGAACATTTAAAACTTATTCAAATAACTACAAAGACCTCATGAACTCCTGTCAGGCTTTGAGCTCCTCAGTAATATATTTTATGAAAACAAAACATTCCAACCAATGAAAAAATATATTGCAAGGGACATATTTTCTCTTAAAGGTAGGAGAAAATACTTGTACATGATAGACAATTGCTCTGGGCCTAGAGAATCTGCTACAGGTGAAAAAAATGTGTGGCAGACAAAAATATTCTGAAAAATACTAATTTATAACGATACATTCCTCTTTTTCCGCCCATGACCATAAAACATGATATTGATTCCAATATTTAAAGATAGCCATGGTAAATCTGAAAAATTTATATACCAATTTAAGATAAAACAGCTGTTTAAAAAGATAATTTAAAATACATGTGGGAAATGAACAAGAAATGCAGAACGACAGGTTAGTTATGTTTCCCTCCCTACCCTATTTATCAAGAAGACTTTACTTTTATTTGGTCATTAAGAGAGAAATAAATTAGTTTATTAAATACTTCAGATTTTAACTAGGTTATTAAGCAGTTGTCTGAAGTTTCGTTTAGGCTATCTTTCAATCTGGTCAACCCCATTTCAATTCTGGTTTATTTTCCCTCTTGGCCACAGCAGGAGGAGATACTAATGCTTGAATTGGGAGCTTTATGCTGATACTTTCTGCTTGTGCAACTAATCTAGGTTAGAGCTGTATCCAAACTTGCTCGAACGTGTTTTTCATTTCTGCATAGTAACCTTTAGGAAATTATGGATATGCTGTGTTCAGGGGGAGGTTTTGAGCCTGTAGAGTAATGTAACACAGGCTTCATTAGAGGCAATCTTCCACTTTCAGCCTTTCTCCATTTACATTTCTAAGGCTGTATCTTTTTTAAAAAGTTTATACAATCTTTCCTTTGTTTATTTTAAAACATTTTAAAACTTGCTTGTTTATACAGTATTAAACTAATGGTGTAATGGCAGATAATGCCTCACTAGGGGGACCCATTGTGCTGAAAATTTTGAGAGACTCATTCTAACAGTAATTTTAAAGGGGGCTATAGTTTCCCAGCTGAAAGTGAAATAATGAAACAGTCATAGATGTTTATCATTGGAATATCTGTTACAGTCGATATAATGTGTTTTTTCCTCTTCTTCCTCAGTAAAAACCTTTTTAAAAAGTTTCCACCGATTCGGTATATTGTGCTGTTTAACCGTGCTAATAGGTCCCCCAATTCATCAGTCCAGGAAGGCTTTGCTGTTTGTTGCAGGTCAAATTATTACAGCATATTGCCAGTCTGAATGAGAGAATCATTTGTTTTCCATTTTACTGCCTGGTGATTTATTCTTAGAGGCAAATAATTAGAATAGGATATACTGAGCAGATGATACTTATTTTTTATTTTTCCTAAAGGAAATGTCGCAGGCATATATAAGGACCTTCAGAAGCTCTCTTGTCTCTTTAAAGATCGACTGGTATACCCTCTCCTGGCTGCTGCTCGGCAAGGTAAGCAGATCATGGAAGGAGTCTTATTTTTTTTTTTATAACAGGTAACAGGTAAAACCACCAACAATGGTGAGTGGAGTGCGTTTGTAGCACAATGTGCTTAGTGCAAGACATGGGGAAAAAAAACGCCCCCGTTGAACTCATTTAGCTGGAACGTTTTGAGAGTATAACAGCAATATTTTCTCAGTATGATTCTGGATTCCCTTCACTTATTAAATGTGGTCATTTTTGGTTCAAACTGTGTTGAGAGTTGAGATGACTGTCTATACATTGAGCTCTCTGCTGCTGACTAGACTAGTGTTTCTCAACTTCAGCAAGTAAGAGATGTGGGTTTCAACTCCCAGAAGCTGAAGCTGGGAAATTCTGGGAGCTCAAGTCCACACATTTGAAAGTTGCCACGTTTGAAAAACAGTGGTACAGACCATTAAGTGTACAGTCTGAAGCTTATTTATGCAAACAAGTTTGCCACACTCTGTTTAGGCTCTGATGCCAAGTAACCAGAATGGGTCCCAACTCAGAAAGATTTTGTCCCCACCACTAGATGGGTATTCAGCCTCTAAGCTGTAATTCTTTTGCTATTTATAAATTAGACATTTACTTCTGCTTCTCATCCCATCATGGCTGCAGCTGTGACTTACAAGATGAACAATTACCAAATTCTAATTTGAGAAATGTTATAAAATAGATTAAAATCTGTAAGTGCCTTTTGAAACAATTCTTGTTTCACTAACAGGCAAAACTTTATTGTAGTTGAGCCAGCCAAAGAGACTATTTCCTGTGTGGCTTGACAACATAGTAAATCAATAATATATTAACTTTGATCTGAATAGGAGTGTTTTTTGTTTCTTTTTCTTTTTACTGGGCTAAAGAAAAACTAGATGATATTGAATACTGATCTAGAGGATTTCATTGTTGAAAGTCTAATGTGACTTCTCCGTAAATGAATGTCTTCTAAATCTGTCAGGGAGGGTGCTTTAGAGTTTTATTTCAGGACTATCATTTGATTAGTGGTAATCATACCTCTGCTGACATTGCCTTTTTAGTCTCACTTGGTCATATGTTTCGGTAGAAATATAATGGTGTTTAAAGTTAATGAACTCTTTTGAAGTTTCAGTATTTCTGTATAATTTTTCTTATGTGATCTGTTTCCAATAGAATTCCTAAAAATAAGTAAAGAAAACCCAATTGAATAAATGATCTTAATATTATGTCATTTTTGATGTCTTTATCAGCATGATTACATTCAAAGCTGTTTGCCTAAAAATAGGCTTTTTGTTTAGCCAAACCTTATCAATATGCTTTGTTTCAAGCAGTATTTAATTATAATTATGAAATGGATAAAAAGTTAAACTGTTGGAATGTTGTAATAATGTTGTTCTTCCCCTTCTTCTTTTAGCATTGAATCTACCAGATGTGTTTGGCCTGGTGGTTCTTCCATTGGAGCTGAAACTCCGAATCTTCCGGCTCTTGGACTTTCGCTCATTAATTTCTTTGTCTGCTGTTTGTCATGATCTTTATGCTGCTTCAAATGATCAGTTATTGTGGAGGTTCATATACTTGCGAGATTTTAGAGGTGATTGTTCATAAAACTTTTTTTCTACTGATATGGGATTGAATGAGAGGCTTCTTGTCATCTTTGAAGTTAATTTGCCAGGGTTCTTTGTAAGGAATTATACCTCTATGAAGCTGTTTGGACATTGTGTCCAATAAATGGTTATTGTCTTGGAGCAGTCATGCAATCAGGACAAGTTACCTAATACGTTGTGTACATCATTATAGAATTGCTGTAGCAAGCTGATTTGTATCTTACATGTTTATGCAGATCCGGTTGCCAGATCTCGAGACACAGATTGGAAAGAAGTAAGTGGATTTCATGATATATGTTTTGCTTTTGCTTTTTTTTTTTTTTTTAAAGAGTACATGCAGTCTGAATAAGCAAGAATTCAACAAGTTGCATTCTAGGCTAACTGAAACCTCCAGTCATCATAGGAAGCAAACTCTACTTTAAAGACCATGCTGAAAGAGCAGGCGAACATTATTATTTGAATGGATGCCAGCCTGCACTGCTTCTTTCAAGCTGTTGGATTCTGGTCTGAAATCCCATATTGATTTTGAAAAATTGCATGATATAAAAAAAATTATGGAGCTGCAGAAGGCATGGAGATAGTTGTGCTAATAAATTTGGTTCATATATTCTAAATATCCAGGAATATACTAGCAAACTTTTATAACAACGAACGCTATGAAATGTCAAGCTAAATTTTATTTCCCCCTTTTTTCTACAGCTGTACAAGAAAAAATTGAAGCAGAAGAAAGACGCACTGAAGTGGAGACACACAATGTTTCTGCCCCCCCCCCCCCCCCCCGTGCCATTTCATCCCAGTCCATTGTGTCCCAATCCTTTTTGTCCTAATCCACTTTATCCCCCCAATATCATTGGTGGTGAATTTGATGAGAGGCCAGCAGTCCCTTCCATTGGTGATCCAATAAGCTCCCTCTTTCCTGGCCCTGCTGACCTTCCAAGTCAGTATCTTCCTATTGCCCCACACTTAGATCCATTCTCCACTTTACCATATTTCGATCCTTTTGTGTCATTTCCAGAACCCAATCCAACTCTCCCAGGAAGAACCAGTCGGAGCCGCCCAATTGATAGTCGCCGTGCATTCATATGAGAACTCTTTCAGCCTTATTGATAAAGTTTTTAAACCTCTCTTTGTGGGCTTACTTTAAACTGTACAGCTTCAGAGCTATGATGTCCACTGTTCTAAAAGTATGATAATGCATAAGTACTATAGCATCTTGATTCCATAGACTTGGGCCCAACAGTTCAGTGGAAACAATTTTTCCTGCCTCCCTTGGAAACGCAGTCCCTTTTGCAAGAATATTGAGGGAAACTATTCTTTTCATTTACAGTGAGAAGCTCTTTCTTAGAAAGTAAAAGGGGGTTTGCTTTTGTTGCATCAGATAAAAAGCACTTTAAAATATAAACATCTAACTTGGTCTGGGTTGTTTTAATTTTTAAATGTCATTTAAACATTTCTGCTATGTTCTTTTCTCTGAGTAATTAGCCTGACTAAATACTTTTTCCATGAAAAGATTTTCTGTTCTATGCAATTTCTGGCACTTGGAAGGCTGCAAAAACCACCTGATTTGATTGTTCTTCGAACACTATATATTTTCTTTATTACTTGAAAAGCAATGTTGGTATTGGGGATTTCAAAGCACAAAGAATATTGAGTTTAAATGATTTTTACACATGAGAGAATAAGACATTGAACTGTTCACCTTACAAACAGTTGAATAATAACATGCTACACAGTATAACCCAGAAGATAAGAAATGGTGAATGTCAGAAGCTCTGACAAAAAGTTGCTACCTTTCTATTTCAATTTTTTTCTAGTAAATATCAACAGAAAGTACCCCAAGTACTTTTGGAAATAAAATGACAGGGCTATCTGTACATTTAAAGAAACATCGTATGATTGATGGGACTAATGAACATGATAATTGTTTTTAACATTCTTCAGCCAACTAAATTGGGTAAACCTAGTTATTTTTAAATATATAATTATAAGATGTGCAATTCTTGGGATTAATAAACGTAACTCTGTCTAGTTAATCAGTTGATAAAGAGATGTCTTATTAAAAGGTAATCTTCTATTGAGCACAAATAGTATAACCATGGATGACTATCCATTGATGTCTTCTCAAGGGAAAATTTATTATCTTTGCTATTCTTCTGAACTTTTTTCTGTATAGTATTTTCAGTGTTAACAAAACAAAAAGAAGTACTTAACTGCATTGATTTTGATGTGTCAGTTTTGTCTCCTAAATTTCAATTTCATGACAGATTGAACACAATACTAAAATTGTGAGAATACAATAGGTGGATGTTATGCCTCACTGCTCAAAATCTAAATTTCTTAGATTTACATTAATGAGCTCACATATTAAGTGCCTAAATTAAAGAAGTGATTGTACTATATTTAGAATATATAGTACTTTATAGGTGGAGTATTATAAACACGTGTTTATTTACTATCACAAGGATAGTAAAGGAGTGCTCAGTATTTGTGACCACTGATAATTGGAAATAGCAGGAAATAATTGGATAACAAGAAATTTCTTAGTTCTCTCCTTGGTTAATTTCCGTCCTCTCTTTGTTGCAGCCCCTTAGATATTTCAATACTGCTATCATGACACCAACAGACCAACAGTTAATACTTAACTGCTAGTTTATAATATACTAAGGTGCTGTAATCAACCATATTAGAACTCAAACATGCATAAATCAGTTCTAAAATTGCTTGAGTCTAACAATGCAATTTTGCTTTATTACTAAACAATTGGTTCTTTGTATTTGTATACTTGCACTGTGATGGCATTTTTCCACTTAGGATGCATACTGTTCAGAATATTGCAGATGATAAAAGATTTTTGTTCCAACAATAGTACAACATTGGTATAATTAGCCCCTTGGCTTGCATAATAGACTAATTGCCTATGAGAGGAATTATTTAACATTTCTGTAATATTCCAGTGCAAAATGGACTAGTATATAATTGTTCTGTCCTTATTGAGGTAGGTTAAACTTACTTGAGACTTGAAGGTGAAATTTAGTAGATCTAGGAATTACATTAATTTATGATGTGCTGGTGGTGGGAAACTTCACTAGCAAATTCTATCAGAATTTTCTTATTGCACACTGAAATTGAACAGTTGGCTGTATAGTGCAATCCTATATGACACATTTAGAGAAGTAAGTCATACTGATAATATTGAAGAAATTAGATCACCTTGCTATGAACATTTAGCTTAGTAAACCATGTGCTGGGTTTGATGAGTAATTCCAATTGGGTCATTTTAAATGGAAGTGGATCCTTATCTGTACTTCTCTTGAAATGATGAATTGTTCTTCAGATGCATTCCAGATAGCTGATAAACACTCAAAGTAGTGGTAATGTTTGTTTTCCTAAGTCTACCAAATGATTTTACAGGATTTGGGAAAAAGGTGGGGCAGTAGGTAATGTTCCATTCTAGAACGTGAAAAAGTAGCTCTTGCTAACATATCCACAGCTTTGCCTGTACAAACGATATTAAGGAACAAAGCAGTTTGTCTGGGTTTTTTGAACTTGGCTCTACTGGGTTGAAAAATTATGTGCTTGCAGTAGACTTACTCTGGAGCATGGGTACCCAACCTTTGGCTTGCCTGGGCTGCACTGAGTGAAAAGGAATTGTCTTGAGCTGCATATAAAACATTGGTAATATTTATAAATCACGTTAAAAATTTACAATCTTGTGGGGCTGAATTAGCTGTCTAGGGCCATGTGTGTTGGACATGCCTGCTCTAGAATCTATATACAGCAAATGCATACATAATGCAACATCCCATTTGCATTACTTTTGCATGGATACTGCAATAAAAGGAGGTCGATCATATCAATGCTTAAAGTGAGAAATCTGCAACAGAACTCATAGTTTCCTCATCTCTTTTAACACTTCACTTGTATTCTGATTTTATTGAGTGGCTAAAATGTTATGCCATACTGCATAATTTGGATACTGATATTGGGGACAACTTTGAGGCTGGGAAGAAACATTTCCCATATTTTGTTATCCTGAATGAATTGCTATTTCCTATTTTGCTGGCCTCGAAATCTTGAGTTGTACTTCATGGCGCCTGGCTTCTTTCTATACAGTTTTATCACTTTTGTATGCATTTATGTAACCTTGCAAAATAAGAATTTCATAACTTGATTTCCCTAGAGAGGTAGTTCATTGTGAAATCCTAGTCCCAATGTGGATCAAAGATCTTTGCTTCAATCACCTTTTTCTGAACTGCATGATACACTGCTATAAAGATGAATTCTTACATGCTTGTATAGTTCAAGACCTGTATATTTGTTTCCATACACATGGTACTTCAATATAAAGGCTTATATCATTATAGTTTAAATTATTACTTTGGAATAGGACAATCTTAGGTGATTTGTGCTATTGTAACAGCAAGCAAAGGATTTTAATTCCAAATGATCTTTTTATACAATGCCACATCTGGGAATTAGAATGGATATCATCCTGGTTGTACACCAATCAAAGTAAAATGGTTCAACTGTGTCATACCCAAGAATTGCAATTATTTAGTCCAGGAAATTTGAATTGAGAAGGAATAATTCTGGATTTCAAGGGGATGTCATAGATAACACATTTTCTGAGGAGTAGTTTTATAATTGAATTTTTAAAAGAGTAAACTAGAATCTGACTTATAAAAGACATGAAGAATCATGCTAGTAGATAAAAATAGTTAAGATAAATGAACATTGAGTGAGATGATTATATGTTTCGCCTCATGTGCCTCTTTTCTGCACATCTGCCGTAAATGGCATAGCAAGTATTAAAGGCAGTTTATACACACTGCAGTATTTTATAGGCCTGATCGTGCATGAGATAACCTCTCTGTTTGGATGATGATGGACGTGTGTTTGCTTTCTGTAAGTTGAGGATAGCATTTAGATGCTAGTGGGATCCAGAGCGGCGGGAGGCTGATTTGATTGCTTTTTGATTTTTTCCACCTTTGCTGAATATAGGGATATATACAAGAAACTATAATGATCGATAACATTTAAAGACAAATTTGTATAGGGAACTATAAAATGAGTTACGGATTTGCAAGAAAAGAAGACCCAAATATCCAAAATTGGGTTGTGATGCTAATCAGAAAACAGGCTAGCAAATGACTTCCTCAGGTTGCGGATGGTTTCAGCCTTTGCCTCATCTTCATTTGTGATACCTCGCTGTAAAGATTCTGAGATGTTGAAGGTGTTTGTCAAGGATTGTGATTTGCTGAAAAGAAGAAGAAAAAGGAATAAAAATCTGGTAATTTCCTTTATAAAATTCAGAAGCTTTAGGAAGTAGTGGGTCACTACTGTTGTTGGACATTTATAGTGATGCTTAAAAGTTTATAAACCCCTTTGAGTTTTCAATATGCATAAATATGTCGTAAAATGTGATCTGTTCTCCACATAAAAAAATCTAAATAGAGCATTAAAGCTATGAATGAAAAACATACTTGTCTTTTCATTTATTGAAACAATGAATTAAGCTACATTTTTGGGTGGCAAAAGTATGTGAAATGTAGTTGCAATGTTATGCCTTATGCCAGCTTTGCAGTCTCTAGACCAGGCGACTCATCATTGATGGAACTATGAATTTCAGATTGTATCAGCAAATTGTATAGGCAAATAGGATATTTGTCTGAGGTAAAGCTTAAGATGAGCAGCAAATCAATGATCCAAAAGTTTTGAAATAGTTAAAGGCAAAGTCCTGGCCTTAATTCTATAGAAATGTTGTGGAAGTGGCCAATTCACTTAAAAAAAACAAACGATCAACATCCTTAAGTTGAAGCTGTTTTGTAATTAAGAGCGGGCTAGAATTCCTTCAGGCTAATGGTTCAGAAGTGATCAGTTATCAAAAATAATTAGTTACAGTTATTGCTGATCAAGGTGGGCATACCAATTACTAAAAGCAAAGGCTCACATGCTTTTGTATAGCTTTGGATCATTTTCCTAAAAAAAAAAAGAATTATGTTTGACTTATTTCTTTAATAGGCTTTTCTTTAGGGTTAAGGCTTCTGTGATGCTTCATGTCATATTTATGCAGTAATGACAATTCAAAAGGGTTCACAAACTTTTAACGCTACTGTATCATTGGGATTTATGTTAGGTTTGAATATAATTTTCAGGGTGGGCTGTGGTTAAGCTGGAAAATGTTTCTTCCTATGTAAGTCTATGCCAAAAAATAGATTTAATGTGGTCTTCCCTTTATGTTCAGTTGAGTCTCTTCTTGTGTATGCATTTGCTTGGTGTTCTATTTTGGAGACACTGATAATGGCTTGACTCTAAATTGCAAGAATTGTCCATTGTAAAAAAAAATAATTCCTACATACTTTAGATGAGGATGCTGCTTAGAAGGTTCACTGAATCCTTGGCCAGGAGCCCATCCTTGTGCTGGAGGCCGAGGTTGCTGGGCGGGAAATGTGCCTAATTTGGAAGGCTGACTTGGTGAGCTTCCTGCTGACGATCTAGTCTGCTGGGGAGATCCAGGTGATTTCTGCTGCTGGGCTGAGGTGGACTGAGGACTCAGTGGTTGCTGACCCTGTGGGGACAACCTTTGCTGAGGTGGAGGTCCTGGCTGTATGGGCTGTGATCCTTGAGGCTGCCATGGGCCACCTGGAGCAAAGGAATACAGACACTGTATGTAAAACAAGATTAGTTTTTATAAAAGGACTGATCTTCATTAATATTATGATTCTGAACTGATACAAGTTTGTTGGAAGATTGGACCCCCCCCCCTTTCCTTGGATTATTAATCACTTATATAATCACTTCATCACATATAACTGATGGAGAGTTCTAAGAAATATGAAAACTTTCAAGGATTTTAAAATGTCTCTTGTTCTCATGAATATCTCTGCATTTTCCCCCTCATAGTCAACTTTGGAAAACTTTTATAAAGGAGATTGAACTCCCCTAGATAGCTAATTTTTTTAAGAATCAATAACTATGAACAGAGAAACTGCCAAAAGGTTAACTGGTGCTAATACCAAATGCACTAAATTTGAAAGGGTAAAAGAAGAGTGGGTCACTACTTTTCTTCTGGCAAACTAGTGTTTTCTGTCAAGTGGTGCCAACTCTTAAACAGCCATTTTGTAAATGGTAAGTCTTAGGAAAACCACTTCCTTTGAGAACTCCCATTACAGTCACTTGTCACACATACCCACTGGCACAGATGTTTATAGATCCTTGCCATAACTTAGCAAAAGATTAAGAAAATATTGTCTCAGTTTCCTAACTTTCCCCTAATAAAGCTGCATTTTAAATTCTGCTCTTTAATTTTTGAAATCTGTAACTTCAATCTGTGTGCGAGCTGCGCATCTGAAACAGAAATACATTTCAACATTTCTCAAGTTTTTGTTGGCATTGCTTCTGTTTCCTTATTAAGTTTGGATGTTAAGTCTAATATTTTTTCAGGATGGACTGTCCGAGAAGAAATATATATTCTTAATCTTTTCCCCTTCTCTGTAAATACAGCTTAACCCTGCCCTGTCGCCATATTTCCTTCAAAAAAATCAGCAGAAATCTTGACAGCCACATTTCATTACTCATACATTTACAAAGGAAAGTAATACCTCACTCTTAAAAATTACATGGTAGACATAGTACCTTGAGGTGGTGGTCGGGGTTGGGAAAGCTGTCCAAGATGTGGTCCTGACAATTGTGATTTCAATGATTGAGGCTTGAAATAAAGACAGTACAGTCAGAACATCACAAAGGGAATCAACAGAATCAACAGTTATGTATTGCCCGTAGCAATTTCAAATTAACTACTACTAAAACTCTTGTGTCTGTTTGATTTTTGTAACCTTAAACTGGGTAAGATAGTGCATCATAGGGCAACCATTTTCGAATTAACATATCTTAAATGGTCTAACTTAAAGAATGTGTCTAAAATTGCACTCGTGCGATTCGCGTGCACATGCGCACACAACACAGAGCGACAGAACCGGTGGTTATACTGGTCGGATCCCATCACTGAGTCTTTCTTAAAAGCTGATTAGGACAAACTTTGCAATCTTGAGACCTGTCTGGTAGTCTTTTTTTAGGGATCTGAACAACCTGCAGAGCCTCAGGATGGTAACATGCTACAGTGCCATAATGGCCTTTCAGGGAAATCCTACTGAAGCCTCTCTAAAGGAAAATGTCTCCTTTATAGTAATGTTAAGTTTTTAAATATATTGGAATTTTTTTTTTAGTTTAGAAACTTGCATATGGGTTTTGATCTGGGCCAACCCCACCACATGCTCCATTTTGGGGCCTTCTGGGCCTCAGGGGAGCCTCCTGGGGGAACAGTTTTTCTCCCAGAAGGCTTCCCTGAGGCCCAGGAAGGCAAAAAATGGAGTGCAGGAGGCACGGGGGCTGCGACCCCTCCCTCCGTTTTTTGCCTTCCTGGACCTCAGGGAAGCCTCCTGGGCGAAGCAGTAAGACAGAAAGGGGAATCCCAGCCCAGCTGATTGTAGGAACAGCTGATTGTCGGGAAGGGAAAAAATACCTTAAGGAATGACTGGGCAGGGAAGAACACAGTCAGCAATGTTGGGCAGGCGCACGATGTTGTGCATGCCCAATAAGGACTGACTGGGTAGGGAATGGAGGGTCGACCCAGCCAGAAGTTACTACCAGTTTCATGACCCATGCCAAATCCTTACCACGAACCAGCTGAATACTACCACTGCTCTGGATGATTTACAGATAAAACAGTAAAATGATATAAAAGCTACAGTATACTTAAAAACAGTTAAAAACAAGATTAAAGCAAAGTTAAAAGGAACAATTACAAAATGAAAAGACAGTCCGCTAATCTTCTCCAGGGTTGTATGACACTCTTAGACTCTCTGGTCAGGTCGGAGAACAATTTATACTGTGATTGAGTATGTTTCTAAAATAAGGACAACTCAGCTTTAACCTTCAACCACAACCCTACCTCAACCAATCCACCATCACCCAAGACTAGGCACGCACGCCCCTAACTACCTCAACTCCAACTACTGCTGGCCTTAAATGCAAGCTACTCAATGCAAGAAGCCTTGTAAATAAAATACCTGAATTTTTCCTCCTACTAAATATGGCTAAATTCGACATTATATTTGTCTGTGAAACATGGCTCAATGCATCTCTCCCCGACTCCATTACCACAGTAAGAGACTATCATGTTTACCGATCAGATCGTGAAATTCGTAGAGGAGGTGGTGTTGCTATCTTCTACAAAAAGTCCTTACATCTAAAAAATATCCAAGTTACCCAGGAGCTTGCTCTTCCTGAGACCATTATCTGTGAACTCTCCTTAAATATCACAATTCGATTCTTACTATGTTACAGAGCACCTGATTATGACATTGAACATGTAAACAAGCTAAATACACTACTAACATGGGCAGCATCCTGCCCATACCCTTTTATCTTTCTTGGTGATTTCAATCTGCCTCATATTGACTGGACCCTAAATGAATGTACAACTGAAACCATACATGCAACCTTTTACAATGCTGTTACAAATCTGGGACTGGAACAGCTAGTATCCAACAACACTAGACTAAACAACTGCCTCGATCTCATCTTCTGCAATAGTTTGAATTTAATTTACGGAATACAAACTAAAGAACCCTTTTCCAGCAGTGACCACAATATGATTGACTTTTGTCTCAACATACGTCCACACAAAAACCACCACAATGATGTGATCCCCAATTATAATTTCAAAAAAGGCAACTATGATCTTATAAACAACGATCTCTCATCCCTTGATTGGCAATCTCTATTCAATGGATGCAATACTGTTGAAGACCATTACAACATATTTTTACTTGAAGTCAAAAGAGTCATCAAACTATATGTACCAACAACTACTCCCAAAACAAAACAAAAAAACAGATTGCCCATAACAATAAGGAAACTTCAATCCAAAAAGAGATCACTCTGGCGGAAAAACAAATCTGGTCACGTTGCCAATTTCAAAAGCCGATACAAAAATTTATGCCACCAAATAAAGACCGAATGCACCAATTATCATATTAAACAAGAGGAAAACCTTCTAAGCACCAATTCCACCAATGCTTTTTACAATTTTGTAAACAACAAACTAAAAGATTCAAGGTCCATCCCACCCCTGATAGGACCTAATGGTAAAGACTGCAACGACGACACCATTAAAGCCAACATCTTTAACACATTTTTTGGCTCAGTATTTGTAAACAGCAATGGATCATGCCCAGCATTTCCTAGCCGAACCACAGATAACTACAGTGATCTAATACATATCGATTTTACAGAAGACAATGTTGAAAAAGCACTACGCAATCTAAAACCATCCCTATCTATTGGACCGGATGGAATATGTGCCTATCTCTTAAAAAAGTTATCCACTGCCATAGCCGAACCTCTAAGCATAATCTTTGAAAAATCTTTCAGGACCAGTTCCTTGCCTAACCTATGGTCACAAGCCACAGTCATCCCCATCTTCAAAAAGGGAGACCCCTGCCTAGTTGAAAATTACAGACCAATCTCCTTATGCTGCGTCACCTGTAAAGTCATGGAATCAATTATTAACCAATCCATCATCCTCCACTTAGAGACAAACAACCTACTCTCCAATAAACAATTTGGTTTCAGAAAAAAGCTATCCTGTAATCTGCAACTCTTACACTGCAAAAACATATGGACTACACAACTTGATCAGGGCAAAACAATAGATGCAATCTACATAGACTTCTGTAAAGCCTTTGATTCAGTGGTACATGACAAACTACTACTAAAAATAAAATCCTATGGTATCTCTGGACAACTGCATAACTGGATAAAAGCATTCCTGTCAAACAGACAACAAATGGTCAAAATTGGGAGTGTCCTATCAAATTCTGTACCTGTCAATAGTGGTGTCCCCCAAGGCAGTGTTCTAGGACCAACTCTCTTCATACTCTACATAAATGACCTCTGTGATCATATTAAGAGCAACTGCGTTCTTTTCGCTGATGATGTAAAGCTGTTCAATACCACAGACAATACTGCTACCCTTCAAGAAGATCTTGACTGTGTATCAGAATGGTCAAACAAATGGCAACTTCAAATCTCAACAAATAAATGCTCTGTCTTACATATTGGCAAAAAAAATCCGAAAATAAAATACAAGCTGAATAGTCAAGATCTTGTTGATGATCCAAGCTCTGTAAAGGACCTTGGAATACTCACCTCTAATGATCTAAGTGCTAGTGCCCACTGCAACTACATAGCCAAAAAGGCATTAAGAGTTGTTAACCTAATCTTACGTAGCTTTTTCTCTGGTAATATCACACTACTAACTAGAGCATACAAAACATTTGCTAGACCAATACTCGAATACAGCTCATCAGTCTGGAACCCACATTACGTATCTGATATTAGCACAATTGAGAAAGTCCAGAAATATTTCACAAGAAGAGTTCTCCACTCCTCTACTTGTTGTAGAATACCTTATGCCACCAGACTTGAAATTCTAGAACTAGAAAACCTTGAATTACGCCGTCTTCGGTCTGATTTAAGCATGGTATATAAAATCATACATTACAATGTCCTACCTGTCAATGAATACTTCAGCTTCAACCATAACAACACAAGAACACACAACAGATACAAACTCAAGGTTAACCGCACCAAGCTTGACTGCAGAAAATACGACTTTAGCAACAGAGTGGTCAATGTCTGGAATACTCTACCCGACTCTGTAGTTTCTTCCCCAAACCCCAAAAACTTTAACCTTAGACTGTCTACTATTGACCTCACCCCTTTCCTAAGAGGTCTGTAGGGGGCGTGCATAAGCGCACCAACATGCCTACCATCCCTGTCCTATTGTTTCTTTTATTTTTCTTTTATTTTTCTTATATGTACTCATTTCATGTATTCATAATTATGTATACACTTTTACTTATCTCATAAACAATTGACAAATAAATAAAATAAAATAAAATAAATAAATAAGGACACTTACATCTGACTTGAGATTGAACACAATGCAACAATTAAACGTGTTTCTGAGTCAAGAACATTTACTATTCAACATTCAGTAGCTTTTAAATATATTTTTCTAGCCTTAATTCAGAAGCTGATTGGCTCAGTGGACTTTGAGAGCTTACATTATGTGAAAGGGATTGCTAATATGACTGCTGTCTTCAGAATTAACTACATTGAGGAATGGATTTCATACAAATATCTCTGCACATCTTCCATTTGATTTTTGATATCTGTCCAAAAAGATAAGTATGCCTTGTATCACCTGTTTATTCGGAGAAGATATGAAATTAATATTTCCAGCAATTTGCATTGCTGCTTTTTGAATAGTATTCCCATCTGCCTCTTTAAAGATAAACCTTGAATTTTTAAAGATAAACCTTGATGGACACAAAGGAAAATTACACACATAAATCTACAGTATTCTGCACTTGTTGAATGAATAGCACTGCATGTCGCTTACACAGTTGTCTATGCTGTTGTAAAAACAACTTTAAGGAATTTTCAAGTCCTTTTCCCCTCTGTCCAGCTTTATACTTCAGATTGCAGCCTCGGCTATTATGTTATACTGTTTAAAAAGTACAGAATTACACATCTTGTCTATAATGTACTTAAGGATTGTAGAAAAAAGAGCATAGTATTTTATTCAGAGTAAGACTTTTTTTTATTAAAGTATTGAGAAGGTCTATGTTTTTAGATGTCATTTGAAAACCAGGCACCTGGTTAGATTGATTTCTCTGAAAGATGCCTCCTGTTCTTACCCAAGGCCTCAGAGGAGAAGGAGAAGATCCCACAGTTGTTAAAGTCTGTGTCATCCTGGAGACCACCATATCAGCTATAAGCTGCCTATCTTCCTCCACTTGCTCTCCTATTAGAGGCATTGAGCTGTCCATCACCTGTTTAAACAAGGAAAACATTCTTTTCAATCTGGTTGCATTTGCTAGTGTAACAGAAAAGCTCAGACATTGCAAATACACATGTTCAAGAACATGATGGCTTTGCTTCTTGCTCTCTTGTGTATCAGTTTCCATACAATCCAGAAGCTTTTTAAAAATGTGACTCTGTTTCAATGACATCACTTATATTTTTAAAGTTAGAACACAATCAATTTTTCCTAACACAGGAAAGAATAAAAGCTCTTCATATTTCACAAGAATGGGATTGCAACTGATCTAACAATTGGATAAACAGCTGAAAGAAAATGTTAGGTTTTCCTTGACAAATTTTAACAGTTTCAGTCTTGGCTGAAAATCTTCCCTGTTCATTGCTCCTTTATATGTAATATGCTATGCCATGGTTCGCTTAATGATAGCTTACTTACTTGGATGGATTTATGCAGTTTGTGCAGTTTTTTAAAAGCAGCACTACATGTTGGCATCAGGTATGAAGCTGGCCAAGATAAAATGAAAGATGAATGAAAGATACTTTCATTTACTACATTTATGTGGCTGCCCATCTAATATAAATTACTCAAGGCAGACAACAAAATAAAAATAGTAAAAACACAACCAACAATTAAAAACATAAACAACTCTGCATAAAGTGGCATAAATAGCTGAGGACCATAACATTACATAATCAATGTAACCAAGGTCACTCATGCTGCAGGGCCCAGATTTGACAACAAAGGTAAGTTTGTAATGCTATGTAAATTTGCACGGTGGAAAAATTGAATTACCATATAAGATGAGCAAGAATGACATGGAATGCTTCACAAATCAATATACATTAACCAAGTGCATGTTTCTTCTCTCTAGTTAAATTTTTATATATAGTTTTAAATTTCATGTAAAAATATTTCTCCTGAAATTATATCTATATGCTTATTTTGACCACAAGATGGTGCTCTTATATCTCCCAAGTCTTTGTAGTTCTACTCAATAAAATAGCTATTGGGATGTTCTCCATCAGTGCTAATAGTCAAATTACTCTCTTTTTGACTCCATATGTAGTCAGAGGATCTTCCATGAAAAAGAAAACACCATGAGGCTTAGAAATTGCAAACGTTTTTAAAACTACAAAAATCGTGTTCGCCTCCTCCTGATATCTTACATTGTGACCAAAGATGTACCAAAACGTTGAAAGGAAAGGACACAAGTTCATGACTTGGAAAGCAACCCTGCCAATCATGGAAGTCTGCAATAATGTAAAAATGATGAAATATGGCACCACAACACAAATTCTGTCTTTTCTACTTGTATCCCAATGTGGCACATACATATGTATATTGTGTCGTTTGTGTCCCAACAATGTAACCCACATTTTGTCGTATGCCACCTTCTCCACCTGTGGGTATCATGTTTCAAATTCTAAAGTAGTAGATAACCAAAGCTGCAGGAAACTGGTTAAACTATTATTTTTATATATCAGTTACAAAAGATGGGGTGGACCTTATAGCAATAGCACTTAGACTTATATACCACTTCTCAGCGCTTTACAGACCTCTCCAAGCAGTTTTACAGAGTCAGCATATTGCCCCCAACAATCTGGCTCCTCATGTTACCCACCTTGTAAAGCAGTGGCCCCCAACCTTTTTTGTGCCACGGCCAGGTACCGGCATCACAAAATGATCCGCTGCCCGGTACCGGCATCAGCACGCATGACAAGGCAAGGCGAGCCGAGCGATCGGCCAGCCAGCCGTCCCCCGCTTCTCCCTGCCACCTTCAACTCCTCCTTTGTACCTTTGTCGGTGGGCTTCGCTTCAGGATGGCTTCAGGACGGTCACTCGGCTCGCCTTGCCTTGGGTGCTGAAAGAATCCTCGCACCTTAGTTTCATTCGAAGCCCCCCCCCTTCGATGAAACTAAGGCGTGAGGATTCCTTCAGGACCCAAATGCCGCTTTCCAACCGGAAAAGCTCACCTGGAAGCACTTTCTCGTCAAACAAGATGGCGGCGCCCAGCAAACCGGCGCCCCAGTAGGAAATGTTCCACGGATCGGTACCGGTCCACGGCCCAGTGGTTGGGGACCCTTGTTGTAAAGGATGGAAGGCTGAGTCAACCTCAAGCTGCTCAGGATCGAACTCCTGGAGTGAGCAGTAAGTTAGCCCTGCAGTACTGCATTCTAACCACTGCACCAACACGGCTCTTATAAAATCAAGATTGAGGAAATTAGCTCATAATTTCTAGAAAACTGTCTTCTAGGAGGCCCAGGTGAGGAATGCTGTGACCATGCGAAGTTCATCAGTTTTTCTACCTATCTGAAATAATAGTTTATTTTTATTTATACCTTCAAGTCAGTGTTGATTCTTGATGACTGCTATTCCCTGCATTTTCTTAGCAAAGTTTTTCGAAAATGGTTTACCCATGCCTTTTTCCTAGAGCTGAAACTGGCTGTCTTCAGGTTACCCAACTGGCTTTAGTGCTCAAGGCGGGAATAGGACTCACAGTGTCCTGGTTCCTGATGCCTTAATTATTACAAACTGGCTGTTAGTTGTATATTGCTTTCCATTAAAAATCTAAAAGGCAATTGCAGTTCAAATTCAACAGTAGAAAGATAATACAGCATAGAAATAGGAAGTAAAATAAAATCAAAACAAGTAGAAGCAGCAATAGAAACTTAAAAATGACAAGTTTTACCACATCATTAAAGTATATTGGAAAATAAAATTTTCTGCATTAAACAAGAAGCAATTATTTAAAATTAATTTATAGTCTAAAGAGTTGACACAAAGTGACCTTCTAAAACTGAGATAAACACAAAAAACTCAGTGCAAAACTGATTTCCTTGTTTCTGGGAATAAGACATTCATGTAGCAGCTGAGAAAAAACAGGTTGACCCAGCTATGCAGTTCTGATCTTTACCCGGTACAAGGTTTGTGGCTGTCTGTATCACACTTGTTTTTCTCCTGATAAAAGTATCTCAGAGAAAGGAGGGATATGGTCAAAGAGAGGAATTTACATGGAAAGCCCCTTTTCTTCTACTACTTCCCTAATTCCATGAAATCTGTAGGCTAAACTACTTCCCTAATTCCATGAAATCTGTAGGCTGTTTCCATGAGTTTCATGAGTCAGGAAATTTGGATTATCACGAAAACTAATTAAAAACATGATGTGAGCATGTCCAGTAGCATAAGGTTAACTAGACATTTATATCAAGCAGTAGGGCTAAATACAAAGAACAATGAAAGGATTATATTTTGAAGTGGATAAACTGACAACTGATTTTAAAAAATGTCTCTTCATCTGCTCTCTATATAAGCAGCTAATCTAAAGATGAACATTTTCTCAATCTAGTTATCTGCTAAGGAAATCTGATTGGGTTTAACTCATCTTCAGAAAGATGCTAAAACATGGCTGTTCCAGAAATTTCCATATACCGGCTCTAACAAATGAACAACTTTTGGATATTAACACCTGCACTTTGCCTGCTATCTGTTTGGCAGTATACTTCCCTAATGGTACATTATTTTTAATGAGTATTCCCATAGGGTTATATAGTTTGGCTTTTAGGTTTGTGAGCCACCTAAAGATGCACAACTATGACAGTATATAACTAATATGAAATAAATATCCGTACATGAATGCTTTCAAAATAATGTCAACTACAGTATGCACAATTTCAGAAGGAGATAATTGTATAATTCAAAAAGATTTGTTATTTATTTGATTGATCTTCTGATTTATATCTTATTTTCCTTGTTATTTAAAAGATTCTTTTAAAAAGCCTCAGCTGCTTTTGGAAACATGTCAATAGGAATATTCATTCTATAGGTTTCATTCTACAGCATGTGCTGCAATTCTACAGTCATCCTTTAGAATTTGCTGCAATTCTTTTTTTTTTTTTTATTAAATTCATGTTTTGGATCTGGGTTGTGATTCTTTCTCATCTTCTTAGGTAATTCTCACTGCAATGCTTAAAAAGGGTGGGCTTAGTAAGTAGTTGTGATCCTATATATATTCATAGGAAATTCAGATACTGGAAGCACAGGTGAATTAATTCTATGGGCTTTTTTCTCTTTTCATTTAAGATAAATGGGCAGAGTTAAAAGCAATTATTTCCCAGCTATCCCTATCCCCATTACTAAGAGTCCATTAGTGGCACAGTGGTTAAAATGTAATATTGCACGCCAGGGGTGGGATTCAATTATTTTAACAACCGGTTCTATGGGCGTGGCTTAGGTGGTGGGTGTAGCTTTGTGGACATGTGACTGGGTGGACATGGCTTGGGGGTCATGTTATTGGCTGGGTGTGGCCAACTCAATATCACTCACATCGAGGCATGCATCTCCTTGTCTGGCCTCTTATGACTGTGGGGATGCTGCAACAGTCGTGTGAAAAATGGTCATAAGTCACTTTTTTCAGTGCCATTGTAACTTTGAATGGTCACTCTACATGAGCAAAGTACCAGCAAAGGAGGGGAATAAAACTCCACAGACATTCCTGAGACAGGAAGTCTAGTCCTGCCAAGAATGTAATAAGGGTTAAAGGAGAGGCAGTTTCTGTAAGCAACACCAGAATGTTTCCTTCCTGCCTTCCTTACAGGATTAGGCCAATAATTTCTTCTAACAATCGGTTCTCTGAACTGCTTAGAATGTTAACAACTGGTTCTAGCGAATAGGTGCAAACTGGTAGAATCTGTTGCAGGCTAATTCTGTTGACTGCCAGCAGTTTGATCCTGATCAGCTCAAGGTTGTCTCAGCCTTCTATCCTTCCAAGGTCAGTTAAATGGGGAACCAGATTGTGGGGGAAATATGCTGCCTCTGTAAATCACTTAGAGAGGGCTGTAAAGCATTATGAAGTGGTATATGAGTCTAAGTACTGTTGCTATTGCTTTTGATTTGGCCCATCCAGTGATCATTATCCAGATTTGGGTTGTCTTAATTTCCTTACTATCTGCTTGTATGGTTGGCTAGGCACTGGCCTTTCCAATAGTATGTTTTAGGAGTAGATAGTTATTGCATTTCTGCAGAGAACCCCAAGGTAGGATCCTGAGACATATCTATATGTGCACAATTTAGGAGCAGGGACAAACTAGATGGAAAATTATGCATGGGAGTAAATCTCCATCCTTATGTGGTCTAGATGGAGAAATGAAAATAGTGCTTTATATTAAAGGTTGGGATTATTCAACTGGGAAAAGAATGAGTGATTTAACTTCTCTTGGTTTTCTATTTTTACTGGAAAGATTTCACAATATCACAAATGAAATCACTATTAACAGAAATATTGATCAACTTTTAAAGAACAGCCCTCCTTTCTTGGCTTTCCCTTCATTTCTTTAATATATGTTCTCTCCTTAGAGATAGGGGATGGAATAACCACAGTGTATGGTTTGGGAGGAAGTTATCTTCAGTGGCTGCAATGATGATGGTAAATAGACAACCTGTATCGTACATGAAGGTAGGGCCAGAAATGAAATGATTTTCAGACAGAGGATTCCTATGTCCAGCAATTAAAAAAAAATCATATACCTATTCTACCTTTTTCTTCTAAATCACTACCTGTTTTCATAAGAAAATAGCTGAAACAGCCATGGAAAAAGATGGGAGAATCAGAAATGCAGAATATCATTTAGATATCTTGTAAAATTCTAGAATGAAACAGAGCAGCTGTACAATAAAAGCCTAATATCCTGTGCTGCTTTCAACTTTCCTAGATTGTGCTTTTAAATGCTTCGTAGCAACAGTACTCCTAGGATTTCTAAAGTATAACATGGGATTAATCAGAAAAAAGGTCATTTTGTCCTGAAGCCACCTTATTCTGTATATATTCCACTTCCATATGAAGGTTCTGGTGAATACAATTTTGTGTTAACTATTAAAAGCGACCCACACGACAGTTGCTCTTGCTTGATTTACAGCAACAGAAGAAACAGAAAAAGCAGAGATATTCCACCCCCCACTTTCCTGGCAGCACACTTGTGTCACATAACCCTTGACCTGTCACTGATTCCTGAAGGACATTTATGCGGCAGAAGAATGTGCTGGTCCTGGAGAGCTCATGTGGTTCTCATCAGCTTCCCAAGGCTCAGTGGGTGGGAATGCTCTCCCACATGCATCTTTTGGGATATGTCAGTGGCCCTGAATGTTGCAGTAGGCTGGCTTTATCCACCTCCCTGTGTTGGTGGAGTTTACAGCAGGGCAGACACTGAGTCTCCATTCCAGCATCCTCATATGGTAACCAAGGACACTTGCTCATTTTTTTCTCCAGTTGCCCTGATTATCTTCTCTCCCCCACTATGAGCAGGTCTTGAATTTCAGCTTTGATGATTTTCAAATATCTATCCCTCTCCACGGTCTGACTCTCTCCACTCTGACAAATAAGTTTCTCTCAGCATGGCAAGATTTACTTCAAAAAACTTCAATTTCTTCTTTAGACCTAGAGTGTCACTGATAAAGAGGGACAGAAGAATTTATTATTCACGCCACCCACAGGGGAATTTCCTTATTTTGTTTTAGCTGGAATCTCAAAAAAAAAAAAAAAAGAAAGAAAGAAAAAAAGAAAAAAAAGCTGCAGCTCTGATTCAAGGCTTCGTTTTGGGGTTTGGCCAAACAGAGAAGAACTGCAGGATTACATATTAGAAACTCCTGAAGAAATATTATAATCAGCATCTGAAGAAAGCTAACCCAATTGGATAAGCTGGTGCCTTCCAGGTGTTTGGAGTTCAACTACCAGTTTCAATTATCCTGATGGATGGTGAGGGATTGTGGGAATTATAGCAAACATCTGGAGAACACCATGCACCTGCTAATTTTTGTTTAATTGTTAAAAGACACAGGAACAGAACCCTTTTTTCTCGTCTGATGGCTGCCAACAAGGTCATTGGTTCTCTTATCTTTAAACTCCGCCAGCCTTTGATTAGCATTGTTCCATTTCTCTCTTCTTTAAACTTTTTCTTTTCTTATATCACTGCTTTGATGTGCATAATCTACTCTTTCCTTCCTCTGAGTTGGCTAGCTTCCCAAGTCTAATGAAAACAGCACAAAGTTCAGTCTACACATCCCATTGTGGTGCAGTCTATAAAAGCTGGGCAATGAAAAGAGACAGGAGCCCTCTCTATTACAGGGCATTCAACTTTGTTCTGCCTCTTTCTCTCTCTCCTTTAGATCATGTACTTACCATCTACACCAATGAAGCAAGTGGAAAAGGAAGTTGAGTGGAATTAGCATCTTGAACATTGTTATTGAATTGCTAGGTTTATTTTTTTTTTCAAGTTAATATGAGGTTTTGTTTCCCTGCCCTTTATTATTTCCATTCATAGCATCCACCTTGTTTCAAAGGGCATTCTAGGAGGAAAAACCCTATTCCTTGTAATTTAAAGATACAGAAGGTGCTTGAAAGGGGCTGGCAGACTGGAATGGAAAGGTGCTTCCTAATTATTTTGACATAGATGTATAAACCAGAGAATAGCTTTTACCCTAATATTCTGAAGCCAAGTGCTTTGTCTTCTATGAAATCAGTTAAATGAATCAGTTACAAGATGGAATAGGTGAAAAAGATATGTAGGCAAAGTGCTGAAATAACTGCATGTGTTGCCATGGTTTTTTATTAATTTCGTATGGCATACATTTGTCAGGGAGCTCTATAATGCTATGTTACAGAGTATCCCGACAGCTCAATTGCTAGTTTGTTCAGTTTTGCATTTGCACGCTTATCCATGATGAACTTATCCATGATGAACTTACAAGTAAACTAACTTGTACCATCTGCCTAGTAGCATTCGGGTTGGTGACTTCTTCCAGGACCTCTTCCACCAATCTTATCTCGCATCCGACCAGGTCCAGCATCGGTCCCCATTCTCTTCACACAACTAGCTTTTCCCACTGGAGTGGTGCCCATTTACCTACTCACAATAATGGTTTAGAACTGCTGGGTGGGCAGGACAGGAGCTAGAGGCAAGTGATGGGTTGCCTTGCTGAAGCTCTTTGTTTAAATGGTACTTACATTCTATTCATTCAGCTCTCCTCACCTCAATGATATAATCTTTGCCATCCTTGCTGTGAACAGCTTTGACTGCACAGATGTCAAGGCCGCCAAACATCTCTGCAACAGAATCTGCCCAGAGTCGGTATCTGCCAAAACCAGATGGGATTATTATTTGTTTAAAATATGATTTGAAAAAAAGTCAAACAAACGTCTTATTCAGGGACGGAAATATTGTTAACTTTCCACAAAATGGTTAGCTTTGTTTTACAGTGGTTTTATGCTAATAAACCAAATGTTTTCTTAAATTAAAATATTTCTGATTATATCCACATTTTCAATGCAAATATTAATATATTGTATAGCTTCTACATTTTACATTTAGTTGTCAACCGTTCTAGAAGAAGCATGCGATAGCTCCAGGTTATCATTTGGTAGAATAGCATTGAAAGTATTCAAAGTATTCAAAAGGTATTAAATGCACTATGAATTTATACCTGCAAACATTAAAAAAATCTGTGTAATGGCTTTTTCTGTGACACTCAATGGAAGTAAACATTGGACTTTGCAAGATAGAGTGTTGACATTTTTTTAATTTTGATGCTAGAGAAAATTCAACATCAAAACTGAAGAATATCATGTATAGCCAAGGAAAAAAATATGGATCTTAACAAAAAACTATCATACAAATGTCCACAAATACCATATTTTGGACCCATTGTGCAAAGACTTAGCTCTATTGAGAAGTTTATAAAGTTGAGAAAATGGAAAGAAAGCCAAAAACTTAATTGCTGTGGTGATAGGTGAATTATTGGTAGACTTCAAGAACCAGGTTGAGAAGCAGTCACTCTGAAGATTATGTATGTGGTGACTAAGAATTAACACCAATTTGATAACACATAATTAAATAGAATAATCATGTCCTCAGGATCTTGGTGGGAAAAGAAAGAGAATTATAAGAATTAAGAGCTGTAGTGAAGCAGTGATTAGAATGCAGTACTGCAGGCTACTTCTGCTGACTGCTGGCTGCAAGCAATTCAGCAGTTTGATTCTTAACAGCTTAAGGTTGACTCAGCCTTCCATCCTTCCGAGGTGGGTAAAATGAGGACCAAACTGTTGGGAGCAATATGATGATTCTATAAACCACTTAGAGAAGGCTGTAAAACACTGTGAAGTGGTATATAAGGCTAAGTGCTACATTTCTTGAGAAAGCTGGACAAAGAATGGCTCCTGTCCTTAGTTCAGTACTGAGTATTTTGACTAGATTGTGTACTATTTTGTTTCTTAATAGATGTGTTCATTCTTACTACTATATCAAGCAATACCAAATGTTCAATGAGCTGCTTTCTCTAATAAAGGAAAAAGTTCTCAGTGCTGGAATGCCTATTCTTCCTATTTTTTGTTTTTGTTTGGAAAAAGCAACAGTATGACTAGCCCATGCAGTTCTTTCCCTACATAATCCTTTTAAAACAGCATCCCAAAAGAATAGAGGCATGGTAGGCAGAAAATGAGCTCCTACTAAATACCCCTTCTGCTTTAGATGATAAGAAAGAAGAAAATCCTCATGGTCTCACAACACTTGTTTAAATAAAACAAGCAAAAGGAATTTTTAATTGCATGTTTCTATTCTCTTGAACATGAAGCAAATGTCAAAAATTCCAAAAATTTGCGGAGAAGATTACAACCCAGGCTGGATAAAGAACGTGGAATGTAATTCCTCATGTTTCCAGACCATATGACAAAAGGGACTTTCCTTTCTTTTGTAGACAATTGCAGCAAGGATCGGGGCTTCAGATATCTGAAGATGATCCATCACCATAGGAATCTTCCTGACTATTATGTTCTTTCATGGACATAAAGTTTAAACCAGCCCCATATTTTGACATGCCCTCAGTGGGAATAACTCCTCATTTCCACCCTTTGGTGCTTGTTCTCCTTATGTCAATCACTGCTCAAAGTGAAAAGGATCATAGAAGCAAGTGGCTTTAATTCCTTGTTGCCCACATTGGACAACTAGATGACAGTGATTAAAAGAACAGCAGTAACACTTGGGTGTTGTTGGTTGTGGAACTCTGTCTTCCTAGCCCCTAAAATCTTCTTTGTTGATTGTAACTCTAGGTAAAATGCTTTTGCTTTGCTGGGTGATAGCACCTAGGCAACCTTAGCTTAATTAATGCTAATTCATTCTAATTCTAATTAGACTTAATTAGAATTGGGTGAGAGTCTACAATTCCTCAATTGTAAGCAAGACTGAAAATAATAATGAAAAAAAGATCCAGAATACCCTGGAAAACTACTTCTGTATCGTTTCCAAGGAAAGCACATGGACATGTCTGTCAAAGCAGGGTCAAAGATGATCTCCATTTCACTTGATTTCAGTGCAATTTAATTACTATGCTACTGCCAACTGTTTTATTCCTTTGGCTTCTTTATTTTACATTTTATTGCAGTTTGTTATGTTGAGTTTAGCTTTTATATCTAAGTTGTCAGTCACTTATAGAAGTGACATGAATGATGTATTGCTTTTGAAAGCTGCATATGAGCTTTCTCTAGTCATGTCAACATATCTAGTACATGGAAGACCTATAAAACAAAAAAAGGTATTCTGTATTTCATCCTTTCTGTATTTAGGGGTATTTCCTTACGTTTTATCTTTTAAGAGAATTTAAGAGGGGTTCTTTATAGTCTGCAGCTTTCCTGAATCTAAGCCGAATAGATGTAAACCAGGATAAGATTTTGTAGTCTTGGGTATTTTTATTATTTATTTATTTGTAAAATTTATTGACTGCCATCTCACCTCAAGGTAACTCCCGGTGGCTTACAGTCTTAAAAAATAAAAACTATACAAAGCTAAAAGACATAAATAAAGTACAATGAAGAGCCAAATATTGCACCCCAATTAAAAGATGGAATGGAAGGGAAGTGGGATCTGTTGTTAATTGATCAACCACCTCCACTGTGATGCTTCTTCATTGGAGCCCCAAGCTAACAGGCAGAACCAGGTCTTTAGGCTCTTATGGAAGGTCAAGGTGATTGGACCTCACTCTGGGAGTGGGGCCAAGATGTTCTGAAGGGCAGGTGCAATGGCAGATGACACTCTTCTCCTGGACCTTGCCA